ATATATATATATATATATATATATATATAAAGAATTACCATTTACTAAAAGTAGTAGCAAAAATTTAGGAAACATTTAATGCATGTTATTTTTGGAAATTTTTTTATATATGCATTAATTGATTCTATTTACACGTTCTCAAATAAGATCAAATAATTACTTAAATAAATTATTATTATCTGCAGTATTTTCATTTATATTTATTATAATAAATTACAATATTTATCTTCGTGATTCATGTTGATAATATTTTGGTCAAGACAAATATTATTTTATTAATATTTGTAATACTTTCATTGATATACATTATAATGGATTACAAGATTGATTTATGTGATCCATGTTGATAATATTTTGGTCAAGATAATATTACACCATATTTTATGTTCTAACCATAATATTAGTTTTTTTTTTCAAAAATATTCATTTTTTATCCAAAAAAAATATTTATGAAAAATCGTAACAAATTAGCTAGAATTTTTTTTCCAAGTAATCAGACGAAATCAAATTGGTGAATTAATATTTGTCAATATATTTGTTTCTTAAGCTTTATTTTGTTAAATATAAAAAATAAATTGTTTTTCAATTTAATATAATTTACCATTTAAGAGATAATGACCAGATACAATAAATAGTTTTACTAATGGTAAAAAATTAAGATTGAAACATTTAACTATTGTTTAGCATTTATTTGTATATTATTGGCACCCATGACTATATTTTTTCATTTTTTTTTATTTCGATTTATTTCTATATTTAAATTCTTGTAAAATATATTTTCATTGTTGAGTATGCTAAATAAACCATAAATCCTTATAATGCGAACTAGAAAAATCTTGATCATATAGGGGATCGAGTTTTTAGGATTTTCTAAATCAAAGTTGTTTAATTAGTACATAAAATTAAATTATAAAAAAACATGTGTATATTTTGTAAAATATTTATACACTATTTAATATTAAATTTATTTACATATTTTAAATTGATTACATAAGTAAATAATGCAAACGTGCATTAATTATTTTTCATTACATAAAATAAAAATATAAAGAAGATGTACAACTTTTATAACTTTATAAATAATAATGACATTATATGACATAAAGTGTATAATAAAATAATAATTAAGTATCTATATATATATATATATATATATATAAAGAATTATCATTTACTAAAAATAGTAGCAAAAATTTAGGAAACATTTAATGCATGCTATTTTTGAAATTTTTTTATATATGCATTAATTGCTTTTATTTACACGTTCTCCAATAAGATCAAATAATTACTTAAATAAATTACTATTATCTGCAGTATTTTCATTTATATTTATTATAATAAATTACAATATTTATTTTCGTGATTCATGTTGATAATATTTTGGTTAAGACAAATATTATTTTATTAATATTTGTAATACTTTCATTGATATTCATTATAATGGATTACAAGAGTGATTTATGTGATCCATGTTGATAATATTTTGGTCAAGATAATATTACACCATATTTTAAGTTCTAACCATAATGTTATTTTTTTTTTCACAAATATTCACTTTTTATCCAAAAAATATTTATGAAAAATCGTAAAAAATTAGCTAGATTTTTTTTCCAAGTAATCAGATAAAATCAAATTGGTGAATTAATATTTGTCAATATATTTGTTTCTTAAGCTTTATTTTGTTAAATATAAAAATAAATTGTTCTTCAAATTAATATAATTTACCATTTAAGAGATGATGACCAGATAGAATAAATAGTTTTACTAATAGTAAAAAATTAAGATTGAAACATGTAACTATTGTTTAGCATTTATTTGTATATTATTGTCACCCATGACTATATTTTTTTCATTTTTTTTATTTTGATTTATTTCTATATTTAAATTCTTGTAAAATATATTTTCATTGTTGAATATTCTAAATAAACCATAAATCCTTATAATGCGAACTAAAAAAATCTTGATCATATTGGGGATCGAGTTTTTAGGATTTTCTAAATCAAAGTTGTTTAATTAGTATATAAAATTAAATTCTAAAAAAACATGTGTATATTTTGTAAAATATTTATACACGATTTAATATTAAATTTATTTACATATTTTAAATTGAGTACATAAATAAATAATGCAAACGTGCATTAAATATTTTTCATTACATAAAATAAAAATATAAAAAAGACGTACAACTTTTATAACTTTATAAATCATAATGACATTATATGACAAAAAGTGTATAATAAAATAATAATTAAGTATTATATGGTGAACAAGAATAAGTAAAATTGTTATGTATCAAGGAATAAATATATATATTAAAATCAAATTTAAATTAGGATAAATGTGTTAGTGAAATAATATATTAATTATTTTAATATTTTGACTAAAAAAATAACGTTGATTAAAAGAGGTGCAAAATATATTATAACTTATTGTTTATTAATTTTAAAGCTGATTAAAAGAGATGAAAAATAGTTGATAATCCTATTGCTTTATATACTTAAACGGACAAAGCATATGAGAACACATTTAATATTTTTGTGTCGTGCATCGCACGGGGTACGTACTAGTTATTAAAAAAAGTTAGTGCGTCAATTGTAAATCGAAAACAATTAAAGGACGAATGTGCAACGAATGTATAGTTAGTGGACAAATAATACAAATTTTCCCTACTTTTATACCTACCCACCGCATATGATCATAAAGGGGTTTTTCCTTTTTGTGTATTTTTTTTCTCTAAATTTCGATAATGGAAAAAATAATGAAATTAAATTTATGATATGAATTCGTCGCTGCAATCTGTCTGAAAAGCAAACAAAATCAACCGGACTTTATGCAAAAATTGAAAGAATTGAAAACAAGAAAGCAATGAGTTGTGGAAGAAAAAACACCCTGGTTCTTATTTGAATTGCTTAAACAATTAAAAAAATTAATTACATTCGAATCTCCAATTTATATTAATTATAAAAGATAAGAATTGGAAAATTAAAAATAAATAAATTATTACTATTTGTTATGCAACTATACTAAATTCAAATTAAAAAGAAAAAAAAAAAGAAAAACTATTGCTTATTTGATGATTTTTATTTAAAAAAATAAAATAAAATATTATTACTACTAATACTAACTATTTAAAATTACAAGTCATACATTGTTATCTCAATAATAATCTAACACGTTCAAAAAATCCAAATCCACATTCACTGTTATAACATGTTACAAAAGTATATATGTTATCTACAAACTTCAATTGTGATGGTTTTTTCCGCCTTGGCAACTTGAGAGTCTTTCCCTCAGCTTGAGAGTCTTTGCCGCAATTGAGAAATTATTACTTAACACATTTCATTTGAAATTTTACGCTTTCATTTAGCTTTCTATAATATTTTGTTCGTT